TATCTGTATTTGTCAAGCTAAAAAATAAGAGGCTCACTACTTCAAAACTGCGATAATAGCGCCTATCCATGCAGAAAGGCATCGTGATAAAATCAGATATATGACATTTCTTTTTATAAACAGTGGATGAATTTGCTTCAAAATCATAGCGAGCTTCGAAGACCTATTTTTCAGATTTCTTCCTTCTTCTTAAAGCTCCCACATAACCATGAAGTTATGCGTTTACAAATTTGAAACGCGTTTATCAGCGATCGTACGATTCAATTTCTAAAAGGCCCTTCGCCGCTTTCATCACTGTAAAGTTAAAACTGCTCTGGCCTTTGTCGTTTCAGACTTTTTTTATTCGAATAAATATGCAGCTATATTTTAGCCCCAATCTGTAGCAAAAGCCAACCGCAACCATTCGCTCTGCCGATGGCTTACACATTCGGAGGTCGTACAGAAGAAAGCTGATTGAGGGTTTGGTCACCTACAGATGTTCTCTACCATTTTACCTCTACCTTTACGGCTTATATTCATCTTCTTGCCAGTAAATATCGCCTAGGGTCGACTAGCTTTACGGCTTACCGGGATGACTTCTGTTCCGTGCTCAGCGCCTTCTAGAAAGTTTTTACATTAATGTTCGTCCGTTTTACAACGTCATCTCTTCCAGTTTCTTGACTCGAGCACGTCGGCTGGTTATTACGCCGGTTGGCAAAGCACCACAACTTTGCCTTCATCTGCAGGTCTTTTTACGTGACTGTGTTTCGACAAGAGCTAGGCATACCACATAATGGTGATGTTCTTGGCAACAGCACTTACAGCCCCGTTCATAACAATGCCTTACACATTCTAGCTCGTCACGCTCTACTCCTTAATAGGTTTCAGCTTCATCTGGACGATGAAAATAAGGCCCTACCTTTCATTTATGCCGTGCCCAAGCTCCACAAGAATCCTTACGACGCTCTATGTACCAGTATCAAGCCCTTGAGCATTCTTCTGCATCGCCTGCTCCTATTTTTCCGTCAGCACCGTTACAATTACTCGGCAGTACTACAGCGCAGGTTACGTAAACGCCCTTCTACAGCGTTCGAAACTGTAGCGAGGTATTGTTTCCATGGGAGGTAATGTCAGCTTAGACACTACCGACCTCACTCTTTCTGTACATGAATTCAAGTACAGTAAACTCCTTCGCAATCCCCCGTCCTCCTCTGCCGCTACGTTGATGATCTGCTCGTGCTTAATTGTCCCCACTTCCGCTCTCTTCAACTACCTTTATATGGCAAGTACTTGGATATTGAATGCATCGGTTCCGGCACGTCCGTTGATTACTTAGATACGACTCTTTCGGCAAAAATTGACGCCTGTATAGATCCCTTTCTTTACTGCAAGACCGATCTTTTTACCCTCCCAATTAATAAGTATTCCTCGACTCACAGCAGTGTGCACTCATCGGTCTATACAGGGACGATTTATAGCCAACTCATTAGATATTTACGTACTGAGTCCCCTTTGCAAAGGTTTATTACTCTGGCTCGTCACCCCCTTCTGTATTACTCGTTAATGGTTTTTCCTCACACCACATCGACCTTTTGCTTCGCACTTTCATACACCGAAATAGATACCAATTCTCTAAATATTTCCCACCAACTCAAGCTCACTGCCGCCGTATAGTACATTGACTGCCTTTATAATTCATTTTCTTTTCCATTCGTCTTTTGCGTTACGTGCTGCATTCGCGTGTTTCCTTTGTCTTCTTTCCCGTTATGGCTAGTGTAAAAAGAAGTAAAAATTGCAACGATGATAGCACTTCGAATAATTCCTTCGGCACCAGGATCTTCACGATCGAGGTTCGTTACTGTGCTTTTTTAAACCTTTCTTTAATTCTTTTAAATCCTTTCCGAGAGTCCTTCCTTTCAATCTTTTTTAAGTCCTTTTATATATTTTTTAAACTTCCTCTTTCATCTACACCTTCTTCACCCCATTTTCACCCCCTCCCCTTCCCAATCCTACAATCACAGTTCTTCCTTTTCTTGCTCTTTAAACGCTGCGACCTGATACTGACGAGGTTCTGTCGCAATGCTGATTTAAGCCGTACATGTCCTAATGGACCGAAACATCTTATCTCATTTCTGCCTCCTTTTCTCATTCTTTCCTGCTTTACGCCTTCGACACTTTGCCATCCAAGATCAACTTAGATACTACGGTCGGTTTACCATAAAACCGAATGACAAGTCGCGGAAAGATAAGCTGCTTTATGGGCAAAATTAAACTCTTGACTTACTTCATGAAAACAGTGCTACTTCCCACTGCGTTGTTTCCTCGGCCACAAAAAAGTACTAACCAGAAACCAGCTTTTCGCCCTGTGCTCCACATCTTCATCCGACAACGCATATAAACCGCTAATCAGAGAACCAATTGACGTTCCACCGATCATATCTATCGGTATTCCGTGTTCGCGCATTGAATGTAGAACACCAACATGAGCTGCACCCCTGAAAAAATCTTTCATAAATTTCAGTTAAATTAATATTTTCCAGTTCATCGAAGTTAATACAATCACAAACGGCCCGAATAATAGGTCTTCCGCAAAACATTTCGAATCAAGGTTGGAATCCACCAGACCTGCCGGTGCAATCACAAGTTTTCGCACTAGACTTGAAGTAATCAGAATGTTAACTCTATAAATGGTTGCTGCTTTACACTTGTCTTGTACGCTCACTAGCGTAAATCACTGTGAATGTAGCAAAAGGGAAAATGTACAATTTTTTGTTTTACGGCTGTTCTTTGAAAATGATTCAGCTCTTTAGTGAGCAATTTTCCTGCCAAAAGGTTTAATTGCCCGAAGATGAATACGACGTGTACCGGATGCTGAGTTCGAAACCTCTATGCCGTACTTTGACGAGAAGCATCCGTTAAAATTTCGCCTTTCCAGCTTTTTTGGTTCCTGAGTTAGTAATTTTGCTGCCAAAACTTTCACGTGCCTACGCTTTGAGAACCATGCTATACCTGAGGGCTGAATTTGAAACAATCTTTGAACTGCACACATGGATAGGGGGCATCCCTTAAAATTTCAGCTTTCTAATTTTTCTGGTCCCTGATTTAGCAATTTATCACGTCAAAATTCTCGCACGTTCCTATGTGTGGCTCGTTAGGGAGTTGAATTTGAAATCCTCTGGTCGGAAAGTAGAGGACATTGCCTAAAATTTCAGCTTCCTAGTTTCCCTCATTTCCGAATGAGCAGTTTTCCCGCCAAAACTCTCACGTGCCCGTATGTGAAAAGTAGGTGTGCATGATAATTGCCATCACATTCCTGGGGTCGCATTTGGTAAGGGAACACAATGGTAAAATTTCAGCATCAAAGCTTGCGTGACTGCTGAACAGAAATATCCAAATAGATGAACACACGCATGCAAACATACACACAGACAGGGTCGGTGCAATGTGCGTTTTTGCTGCCTGTTGCAATTCTCAAGCGCTGCACAGCAAAAACGCATAAAAAAGACCTTGCACCACCACCGCCCAGCACAACCCCAATTGCATTCCCAGTCAGTATTCTTGCCAATCTTGCAAAATCGGAACTGCTTTCAACCTTCTCGCCATAGACATTTTGCTCGTAAAACGACACAATATGATCTTCAGATACCTGAAATTG